TGGCCGGGTACGTGTACAAGGCGGCGAGCGAGGGGCGAGTGCTGACCTTGGCCGCGCTGCTCCTCAACCGCTCCGAGAGTGACATCAAGTACCTGCTGGGCTACGTCAGCCAGCACGGCGGGCAGCGCTCCACTCCGCTCATCATCGCCGCCCGCAACGGCCACACCAAGGTGGTCCGCCTGCTCCTCGAGCACTACCGCGTGCAAACCCAGCAGACCGGCACGGTCCGCTTCGACGGGTACGTACACCGGGCCCGGTCAGAAACCGGTGTCAGCACGGCATTACGGGGCTCGGGGCGCCCCGCTGCTCACCCAGCTGGTGTTGGGAAAGTTGCTTTGGTCTGGCATTGGGAAGATTGCTTTGGTAGCTGTAAAAATGCCTTTGCTGTGTGAGATCCACCCCACCAGATACTTTATGAATCACAAAGGCTTTTGCCCTTCCGACATCCCCCACCTGCAGTAATATTCGCTGTGCCAGAACGGCCTTTTCTGTGATGTTGCTGCTGTAGGTGATGGCAGGCAGCGGGTCAGGGTAGGTTGGTACCTCCACACCATGAGCCAGGCTGTTCTTTACTCAAATTGAAGGTTTTTCAGTGTCCGTCCAGCCCAGATATCCATTCCTCACTGTTGGGAGCCAACACATGGGACGGCCAGGAGTGAAAAGTGGCGTTTTAGGATGGGAAGGGAAGAAATGGAGGGAAGGGCATATTGGGCTGGGGCAGCCGTTCGGGAGAAGCCTGGCTGGGATGTCGAGGTCTCTGGGCAGTGTGCTGCCACGGCAGAAGGAAGGAGAAACGTTTTTAAAATCTCCCACAGTGCTTGTCAAGTTCTTGCCTGTATGTCAGTCTTAAAACATAAAGCTGACTAATCGTGAAGGTAGATTGGTCTTTTGAACAGCTTCAGGTTTTGCAGGTGGCTTGCACAGAGAGGAGAGCTCACATCAGATACTGAGTGAGAGGATCATAACGAGTCCCTGCTGATATCTTTCATCTGGCTCCTACTTGATGAGCTGGAGTTATGCCTGTGCAGCTCCACCTGGCTCAGGGAAATGCGGGCTTGGTTCTTACATGCTGAATGAAGGGGGAGGAACCGGCTTCCCTGTGTGGTTTGGTTTTTTTTCTTTCTTCCTTCTCTTCCAGCCCTTTTTTTCACAAGCATAAACTGGTTCAGAATACCTCGGGTAAGGTCTGCTCCAAATTCAGTGAAAGGAAGGGCCTCTGTTGACAGAAAGCGATAGGAAGGGCTGTCAGCCTCCCTCTGCTGCTGAATTTTCTCATTTCTTGTGCTGTGCCATGATGAGATGGTGATCTGCTTGCCAGAGCCTCTGCCTGCTACAGATTAAAGGAGGTGTTGTCTGAGGCACAATGGGCACAGTGGCAGCCTGGTGAGGAGAGGAGGCATGTGATCCTGGCGTTATTGTCATTCTTCTTGAGATAAGGTGGCACAGCAGCTGTAAATATATACCTGTAGTGTACCAAAAAATTAATGTCTTGTTCATTAACAAATCCTAGGCCCTGACTTTCCACCTGTTTTAGTGTAAAAGTATTTTAATGTGATTATTCACAGTATAGGGAACTTTTTACTGTGAATGAGAGGTGTAGTAGACATTTCTGCATGCCAGAGATCTTAAAGTGTTGTCTGGAGGTGTAGAATTTACAAACAGACACACAACTATTCCTGTTGAATTATGTGAGAGCTTCATAAAATGATAAAAATCACTGTTAAAGTTAAAATTAAGTCAGTGTCTTATGATATTTTAACTTTGGGAAACGTGACTGGACGCATGGAAATATTTGTCCCTCCTTTGTGATTTGGGATGTGCCTTGAATGTGCATTAACTGTGGTGTGAATACCACCTGTTTCTACATTTAAGTGTTACTTCAAAAATCGGGGGAATGGAAAAGACATCAGGCTTTGTCTTTGTAGTTACACACCATGCTGGATTTGGGAATGAAAACAGCTTAAGAAACAGTGATTCTTTGCTAAAGTTAACTGTCCCCTCATTTACGAGTGCCAGCAATCTGTCTGTAAGGCCGTGATGTAAAACAGATGTCTGAAACAGCTCAGCTCAGAAGAACAACTGCTTTTTAAAATTTTATTTTGTTCCTGTTCCATTTGTTGTAACCAGACTGCTGGTCTGGTTTATAGCGCAGGCTCTCGAACAAGAGGTATCGGTGCAGCGGAAGTGGTGGCAGTTTTGCAGGTCAGGGCAGGAGAATAAGTGAAATGGTACGAAATTCTTAAGCTGCCGGGGCCGGTGTGAGCTGCAGTTCGCATCTGAGTTTGGGTTTTTTGTCTCAATATGTCAATTTTAAGTTTTCTCTCTTTAATGTCTCAGTTTCTGGCACAAGGCATCAAAGTTGTGGTAAATCTTGTAACTCTTCTTCCCGAGACCTCTGTAGACTGAGGGCTGGAGTTTGCAGGTAGGATCTTCAAAGCAGCCTGGGAAGTCCTAGTGCAAAATGTGTCTAAATCCCCTGGCTGCTTTGAAGTTTCGGCTTCCAACACTTCTTCCTTCAGGAGACCTGTGCGCTGGATAAGTCTATTATTCTTTTTACCCTGGCTATCCTGGTGAGTCCCTTCAAGTACAGAAATAGCTATAAAATGTCTCTTAATGGCTGGGTATGTACGTGCCTGTTGCATACTGCTCGGCTGTCTGTAAAAGATGTTTCTGAAGGAGTGTCAGTTTAACTGCTTGTCTGTGTCGTTGCATTTGCAGTTTTGTCATCGATGGCGCCACGGCTCTGTGGTGCGCGGCAGGAGCTGGCCACTTTGAAGTAGTCAAATTGCTGGTGAGTCACGGTGCCAATGTGAATCACACGACGGTGACCAATTCGACTCCCCTGAGGGCTGCGTGTTTTGACGGCAGGCTGGACATTGTGAAATACCTGGTAGAAAACAACGCCAACATCAGCATCGCCAACAAGTACGACAACACTTGCCTTATGATCGCGGCTTACAAAGGGCACACGGACGTGGTGAGGTACCTCCTGGAGCAACATGCTGATCCCAATGCCAAAGCCCACTGCGGTGCCACAGCGCTGCACTTTGCGGCCGAAGCCGGCCACTTGGAAATTGTGAGGGAGCTGGTCAAGTGGAAGGCGGCAATGATGGTCAATGGCCACGGGATGACTCCGCTGAAGGTTGCGGCCGAGAGCTGCAAAGCTGACGTGGTGGAGCTGCTGCTCGCTCATGCCGACTGTGACAGGAGGAGCCGGATTGAAGCGCTGGAACTTCTGGGTGCCTCGTTTGCAAATGACAGAGAAAACTATGATATAATGAAGACTTACCACTATTTATATTTAGCAATGCTGGAGCGGTACCGAGACAGCGAGAATATAATTGAAAAAGAAGTTCTTCCACAAATAGAAGCTTATGGGAACAGGACTGAATGCAGGACTCCTCAGGAATTAGAGTCTATTAGGCAGGACAGAGATGCCCTTCACATGGAAGGCCTCATTGTGCGGGAAAGAATTCTGGGCTCAGACAATATCGATGTTTCTCACCCTATTATTTACCGTGGGGCTGTTTATGCAGATAACATGGAGTTTGAACAGTGTATCAAGCTATGGCTCCATGCGTTGCACCTCCGTCAGAAAGGCAACAGGAACACTCATAAGGACCTCTTGAGGTTTGCCCAAGTCTTTTCTCAGATGATACACTTAAACGAGCCTGTTAAAGCCAAGGACATCGAAAGCGTTCTGAGGTGCAGCGTCTTGGAAATCGAACAAGGCATGTCTCGGATCAAAACCACCCAGGACTCTGACATCCACACAGCCATGGACAACTACGAATGCAACATCTTCACCTTTCTCTACTTAGTCTGCATCTCTACCAAGACCCAGTGCAGTGAAGAGGATCAGTCACGAATCAACAAGCAGATTTATAACCTGATTCACCTTGATCCCAGAACTCGGGACGGCTCTAGTTTGCTGCACCACGCTGTCAACTCCAGCACACCGGTGGACGACTTCCACACCAATGATGTCTGCAGCTTTCCTAACGCGCTGGTCACAAAACTCTTGCTAGATTGTGGTGCTGATGTGAACGCGGTGGACAACGAAGGGAATAGTCCGCTCCACATCATTGTCCAGTACCACAGGCCCATCAGTGACTTCTTGACATTGCATTCCATCATCATTAGCCTGGTGGAGGCTGGTGCTCATACAGACATGACAAATAAGCAGAAGAAAACCCCTCTTGACAAAAGTACAACAGGGGTCTCTGAAATACTCCTTAAAACTCAAATGAAGCTGAGTCTCAAGTGCCTGGCTGCCCGAGCAGTACGGATCTATAACATCAGCTACCAAAACCAGATCCCCAGAACTCTGGAAGAATTTGTGAAGTTTCATTAGGCTACATAAAATCTTTTCGTGGTGGTGCTATCCCGGGACGACATCAATTGCAGACAGCAGAATGCATAATGTATACATGGAGTTGTTTTTCTCTGTTCTTTTGGGTTTGGGTTCCTCTGGATTCAGTCTGCAGCCTCAGTTCTTGTGCAGATCTTTAAAGGGGGGGAAATTAAAAAAAAAAAAAAAAAAAAGCCACATCGTTTTCCTGTAGTCAGATCTGATGTTTGAGATTTTGGTCATTTCTTTTGATTAAAAGAATTGTTTCGTTATCTCTTGTTTTTTATAAACAAAGTGGCAAGAATCCCAATGTAACCTGTGCAGAATGTTTTCTTGCCAATGCACATCTCCACTTAAGATTTGCAGCCGAATGCTTTAGGTAGTTATTTACAAAGGTGCCTCTGAAAGTCGGTGTTGCCGTGCCACTGAGGCAGTAGCTTTGCAGATTTTAAAAACTTTTTGGAGTGAGGTGGGAAAAAAAAATTGGAAATTATGTGGTAGTTGGTTCAAAGTGAAATGTCAACATACAGAGCAGTCCGTTGCTCTCATACCTCACCATCTTTTTATGCCTTTTAGTTAATGCTGAAGATGTTGGTAACATTTTAAATTTTTAATTTTTTTAATTAAATTTCGAACAGCAGTTATCAACAGCTACAGACATATGGAATGCTCTGTTAGGAAATACAGGTTTAAATTCAGCTATGATATGTTCATCTGGTAAGAGTTGAAATATCAAGCTCTTCATTTACACTACTACAGTAAGTATTAAATAACTTTTGAAAAAGGAACTTGCACATTGACTGAAATGAATTGGAGTCATGGTTTCTTTTTACGTAGCTAAGTTGCTCATATATAAAGATCATGCATGGATACCTAGAAAATTTATAGGGTATTTGTGTTTTTGTGTGTCCCAACATTTCAAAATGCTTTTAACTTGTTTTTTGTTGTTTCAATGATCAACGTGCACCTTTTTGACTCAAAGTATGTAAAACTGCACTCTTGGATTCCAAATGCTGTATCTTCCTAACGGAGTAGTCTGTCGCCAAAGAGAGTCTTCCTTGAAACTGCAAGAAACTGGCTTTTCCAATAAGTTTGGAGTCTGTGCCTCCCTGAATTGGACTTGAGGATTTTTCATGATTTTTACTCCTTTCATTGTGAAAATCTCTATGAAACCTGATTTTTAAAAAATTGTCCTATCATAAGATCTTTTATGATAAGCAACTGATTGTATAATACCGCTGTTGCTTGAGAAAGTACTTCTCCTTGGTAGAAGTTGCAGATACTCCGACAGTAAAATGTCACTTGTTTTGACAGGCTACTGAAAACTCTGTTTATTTTAAATGCAGCTTTTTAACTGTCAGATGATGAAAGAATGTTCTGTAGGTTTTTTTTAAACAATCTGGGTAGAACTTTAAGGCGAGATTTGGGCACACGTTTCTATTTGTATTACAAATAAATAAACATTGAATGTGGAATTAGCTTGTAACTCTTAATTTGTGTCTAGTGCCAAGCAGAATAGTGCTGCTTAGACTCTATGGTGCCGTCGGCACTGGCTCTTGTGTCTCCTTCAAGGGAAAAGCTTTAGAAATACTGTGTCTTCTAAGCTGCAAACTTTACCCTGCTAGAAACTAGCGCCTGAAGTGAAAAAATGTGTCTGCCGCTTGTATCTCAGGTAGGTTGGACTACTGCACTTAAAAACCATGACTCTTGCAATCAAACCAGGCAAAATGGCAAAGCCAAATTCAGCCTTATTGCAGCAAGTGGATGTTACCAAACGGTTGAGGGGGTAGCAGTGTTTCTGTAAATTGTTACCCTAAATGTCTTCCTCCTGTGTGCTGAGGTGTATTCACCTGAGGGCCTCAGGAAAGCTGCAGTTCTGTATTTTGCTGAGAATTTGCAGCGGTGAATTTTAGCCTGGCTGTTGGAAATGCAAAAAAAAAACCAACATCCTGTTGAAGTTAATTGCGAGAGCTGGGGAATGCTTTTAGTCTTCCACTTTAGGATTGTGTCTGTTACTGCTAAAGCTTTGAACCTGAAATTCCAACAACCTGAGACCACATACCAGATGATTATTATTTAGCTGGTAAAGTTGCTGGTAGCCGACTCAGTTAAAATTAACCAGTTTATGAATTGATGTGTATGTGTTACAGAAAAAAAAAAAGTCTTCTGTTACACTGTGCTGCATGCTTCAATCAGAGCTCTGAGGCCTTGCTGTCCCTTTTTATGCTTCCACACTTATAATTTGTGATGTGCCTGTAGTTAAAAATGAGAGTCAGTGGTCTTTGACTTGACTTGACTCCATGACTTGGGAGAGTGTGGGGAAAGGGGAGAGGGCTGAACACCCGCAGCAACTCGGGCTGCTTGCTGCGTTCTGGATTGGAAATCATTTCGAGTTGCTGTATCATTAAGACAGTATTTCCTTGCACTGTATTTTTATTTCTCAGGACCTGCTTCTGCTGTGGAATAATCTAAGTGTTGTGTTCTTGTGAAATACCTGTATAAAACCATTCCTGGAACAAATGTGCATGCGTGAAATATCTGTAGATAATAATAAGGTGAAGGAAGCTGCTCCTCCCACAAGTCATCTTTTTTAATAAGAAAAAAATGTTACACCAAATGATCGTGTGGAAAAGCTGCTGCTTCTTCCCTTCCTGTATCTTTGTCCTGATCCTTTCCTGCTTTTGGCTCCGTTGCAGGATATTTGCTGAGGTTCTGCTTTGTTCATGCTGTTCCTGGGATGATTTCAGTACGTGAAGACCTGAAGAGAGAGGATGCTGTTACCCAGAAGCAGCAATAAAACTTCCTGACAGTAGATTGCAAAGCACTTTTTATAAAAAGAGGGGGAAGGTCTGTGCTACAGAAGGAGCAGCTGATGCTAAAGCCGCTCCGCTCTCAGGTGTGGTCCCTGGTCTTTGTCCTGTTTCCTGAGAAAGACATCGTGTTTCTGCTTGTCTTCAGCCCAGGAAGATGGTGTCATGGACATGGTGTTCTGCTGCCTTCGCTATGGCAGTAAAAGCTCTTGGCCAAAGGATAGGAGGGCGGGGGCGGGAAAAAAAAAAAAAGTGGGTGCCTGTTCCTGCATGCCTGTGGATGCAGCAAAGTCCGTCACGGCGCTCGCTGTGCTGGGACCTTCCCTCTCCTTAGTCTGGAAATTCATTTTTCAAGCATTAAAAGCTCAAGGAGTGCGCTTGCTCTTTTTGTGGGAGTCATTTAAAGCTCTTGATTAAAATCTACGAACCCCACAGGTGCTTCTTCCACTGGGAAAAGGGAGTGGTGTGACATCCCCCCCTGCCAGGGCCGAGGCGTGTGTGTGCCTGTAGGTGGTGGTCTGTTATTTATAGAACTGGCTCAGCGGAGAGAGCTGCTGTTGGAGAGCAGACTGGCTTTTAAAAATATACCTTCCCGAGGCCAGCCCACGCTTGGTGGGATGCAAACCCTTGGCAGATCTGCAGTCTCAGTCCCTCTGGCTGGAGGGATGTGCTCAGGGAGGCAAGCCCTGGCAGAAGGGTAGGGCCATGCACATGCAGGGAGCTGCAGCTGGCGTTTCATGTGCTCGTTTTTGGGTCAGCTACGCTGCAGCTGTGCTCCTTGGGTGGTGCGAAGAGCCCTGGGTGCTCCCAGCATCGTGTAGCTGCGTGAAAAGCTGAGTTTTTCACTTATTCTGTAGGCTTCTGCATCTCTGTGGAGGCAAACACTGCTCAGCTCTACCTCAGAGCAGCAGCAAGCAGAGGAGAGTGCTTGGCTGAGTAAAGAAAACCTGTCATTTGAAAATGGGTCACTTTTTTTTTTTTTTCAAACAACAGGATCCCGGTTTTTTCTTTGGCAGGAATTGCACACCATTTGCTGCACTCACAACAGGGTTTGCTGGGTCAGGCCCTGTCTGGAACTGTGCTGCTTTCTTCAGGATATGTCAGGGTGCAGAATTAATTTCTGAGTTTATCTGATAATGGCGAGAGCCACTTGTCAATGCGGGTAGATGAGGCAGGTTAGGAGAGCTCATTTTACTGTTTGTGAACCCAACCTGTGCAGAGCAGCTCAACTGCTTTGTCTGTGCTGTTTGGAGCAATAAATTGATGAAAGCTGTCTGTGTAAGTAGCTTTAACCAAGCTCTTCTCAGTAGCTGCAAACCCTCTTTACATTTTAACCCACAGACAGAGAAGTGCTGATGCTTTGATGCCTGGTTTCAGTCAGGAGCAGCCCGTGGCAGGCAATGGGAATTTTGTTCATGGAGTGTTTTGACTGAACGACAATAAAAATGCAGTTTTCCCTCCCATGAGGCAGGTGCCACACTGAGGAATGGCCCCACGCCTCAGCTGGGGACAGGCACTGGGTACATGTGGGGGATGGCTGCAGCTCTGGGCCCTGGGCCACTGCTGGGCATGAGGTGTATACTGTATACAGGGACAGTATACAGAAGTGCGTGTATATAAATATCTGTATATATCTACACACATACAAACACACATATATGTGTGCACACATACATATGCCTAAACATACATACAGACACTTTTTTTATATACACATTCATAAGCATATACAGACACATGTATACCTACACATGTTTGTATATATCCACACATATTTGTATATACACACCCACACTGATCCCAGCTGGTGCACAGTGTCCCCTGTGACAACGGCTTCTCAAAGCTGGAGATGCTCCTCTCAAGCACACACACACTGATTTTATATATATATATATATATATATATATATACACACTGCACACACATATATATTTACGCATGCACGTACACATAAATACACATTGACACACAAACACATACATTACACCCATACACACCCCCATCTGTGCACCATCTTTCCTGGGAGCATGGTTTCCCATGCATGGAGGATGTATACACACACAGAGACGTGTATATATATGTATTAAAAAAAAAAAAACCCAACCCATAAAATATGTACACACACATGTATGTGCTTATACATGATGGCAGCAGGAAGCCCCCCCAATCCCCATTCCTGGGGGTGCCCCACTGAAGGGTCCTGCCCAGCCCTTGCTGACCTTCAGCTCTTTTCCTTGCACCCAGTGCTGCAGGTATCTAAAACCTGGGGAGGGAGGGAGGGGAGCAGCTGCTCTGTTCATAGCACCAAGTGTTGAGGTGCTTTTGGGCAAATTTTTGAAAAGCAGATATTTTTCTCCTAGCAATAAAAGGTTGGACAGACGCCATCCATAGTCCTTATGCCTATGTGATTTCAACGGCAGTAAGGAAAATTGGTTGAGCGTGAAGAGGGAGAACAAATGAATCTGCAGACTTTGGTCTCTTTGGGGCCATGGAATGTGTGCAGTGCCAGCGTTGCCCTGGCCTCACAGAGCCCCAAGCATCCACCCCGGTACCTGCAGGGGGATTTTGGCTCTCTGGGGTGACCCTGCACATCAGCTGGGCCCCCTGGGCCAGCAGAGACCCAAATCAGCCAGAAATCCCAACTTTAACAACTCCCATTCAAGGTGAGGGTGCTAGCCATGAAAATCAGATTTCTCCCCCCCCCCCC